TAGTTTGAACATAAACCCAAATTCAATAAAATAGAACATCAAGGTGCTTCAAACTTGAAAAAAAAAATGCTTTCTTCTTGGTTTATGTTTTGAGGTCGAAACCATGGTGTAATTATGATGTTTGCAAGACCTATCTTTACGCAAGCTAGACCAATGAAAACAAATATCTTAAATATAAAAAATTTTAAAAAAATATTGTTACATGAAATATATTAATTCTTATTGAGACTTCACTCTATGTTGAAATTTTGAGAGTAAACTATTTTCATTAGTATGTTATTGCTTCATAATTGTTTTAAAACTAATGATTTTCCTTTGATGTACCATTTTAGGGGGAAAAAATAAGGAATTAGAAAAAAAAATCAAATTTCTTTCTCTCAATAGTATGAGGAACCAAACAACCAATAATAATTAATTTCTTTCTTTTATATTTTCCCCTAAAATGGTATCTTTGTTAACAAGATCATGGAATTAGAAAAGAAAAGGTAGAATCGAGCAATCATGTTTAGTTTGAACGTAAACCCAAATTCAATCAAATCGAACATCAAGTCGCTTCAAACTTGAAAAAGAAAAAATAGTTTTGTTCTTGATTCATGTTTTGAGGCTGAAATCATGGTGTAAATGTAATTTTGCAAGACCTATCTTTCTATAAGTCTGGACCAATGACAAAAAAAATATCTTAAATATAAAAATTAAAAAATACATATTTTTATATGAAATATATTAATTCTTATTGAGACTTCACTGCATATTGAAAATTTTGAGCGTAAACTAGTTTCATTAGTATGTTATTGTTTCATAATTATTTTAAACTTGATTGTTAAATAAGTTAATGATTTTCCTTTGATGTACCATTTTAGGAAAAAAAATAAAAATAATAATGGAATTAGAAAAAAAGAAAAGAAAAGAAAAGAAAATTTCCTTCTCTTAATTGTCTCGGGAACCAAACAACCGAGTAACAATTAATTTTTTTCTTTCATATTTTCTCCTAAAGTGGTATCTTTGTTAACAAGATCATGGAATTGGAAAAGAAAATAGAGAATTAGGCAATCATGTTTAGTTTGAACATAAAACAAAATTCAATCAAATCGAACATCAAGGTGCTTCAAACTTGAAAAAAACAAAAAATTGTTTTCTTCTTGATTTATGTTTTGAGGCTGAAATCGTGCTATAATTGTGATGTTTGCAAGACCTGTCTTTCTGCAAGCTAGACCAATGACAAACAAATATCCTAAATATATAAAATTAAAAAAAAAACATATTGTTACGTGAAATATATTCATTCTTATTGAGACTTCATTGCATATTAAAATATTGAGAGTAAACTATTTTCATTAGTATGTTATTGTTTCATAATTATTTTAAAATTGATTATTAATTAAGTTAATGATTTTCTTGTTATGTACCATTTAGGAAATAAAAAAGGAAAAATAATGGAATTAAGAAAAAAAAATCAAATTCCTTTCTCTCAATTGTCCGAGGAACCAAACAACCAACAATAATTAATTTCTTTACTTTATATATATTTTCTCCTAAAATGGCATCTTTGTTAACAAGATCATGGAATTAGAAAAGAAAACGGAGAATTAGGCAATCATGTTTAGTTTGAACATAACCAAAATTGAATCGAATCAAACATCAAGGTGCTTCAAACTTGAAAAAAAAAAATTGTTTTCTTCTTAATTTACGTTTTAAGGCTGAAACCATAGTGTAATTGTGATGTTTGCAAGACCTATCTTAATGCAAGTTGGTCCAATGACAAAAAAAAATAAATTAATTAATTAATTAAAAAATATTAAATTAAAAAAATTAAAAAAATATTGTTACATGAAATATATTAATTCTTATTGAGACTTCATTGCATATTGAAATTTTGAGAGTAAACTCTTTTCATTAGTATATTATCGTTTCATAATTGTTTTAAACTTGATTGTTGATTAAGTTAATGATTTTCCTTTGATGTACCATTTTAGGGGAAAAAAATAAAAAAAATAAAGAAAATCAAATTTCTTTCTCTCAATTGTCTAAGGAACCAAACAACCAGCAACAATTAATTTCTTTTCTTTATATATATTTTCTCCTAAAATGGCATATTTTTTAACAAGATCATGGAATTAGACAAAGAAAACAGAGAATTAGGTAATCATGTTTAGTTTGAACATCAACTCAAATTCAATTAAATCGAACATCAAGGTGCTTCAAACTTGAAAAAAAAAATGCTTTCTACTTGGTTTATGTTTTGAGGTTGAAACTGTGGTGTAATTGTGATGTTTATAAGACCTATCTTTACGCAAGCTAGACCAATGACAAAAAAGTATCTTAAATATAAAAAAAATTAAAAAATATTGTTACATGAAATATATTAATTCTTATTGAGACTTCACTGCATATTGAAATTTTGAGAGTAAATTATTTTCATTAGTATGTTATTGTTTCACGATTGTTTTAAAATTAATTGTTAATTAAGTTAATGATTTTCCTTTGATGTGCCATTTTAGGAAACAAAAATAATGGAATTAAGGAAAAAAAAAAAGAAAATCAAATTTGTTTCTCTCAATTGTCTCGAAACAAAACAACCAATGGCAATTAATTTATTTCCCTTATATTTTCCCCTAAAATTGTATCTTTGTTAACAAGATCATGGAATTAGAAAATAAAACGGAGAATTAAGCAATCATACTTAGTTTGAACATAAACCTAAATTCAATCAAATTGAAAATCAAGGTGCTTCAAACTTGAAAAACAAAAACTTTGTTTTCTTCTTGATTTATGTTTTGAGGCTGAAATCATGGTGTAATTGTGATGTTTGCAAGACTTATCTTTTTGCAAGTCTGGATCAATGACAAACAAATATTTTAAATATAAAAATTCAAAAAAAAAAATTGTTACATGAAATATAAGAATATTAATTCTTAGTGAGACTTTACTCGTATATTGAAATTTTGAGAGTAAATTATTTTTATTAGTATTTTATTGTTTCATAATTTAATAATTCTTTGCATGCTATCTCGAGAGTAATTATGTTGAATGAAGATTGAACACGTGATAAAAGGAAGAGACAAAGAGAGACTTATGTTGTGTTTGTTTGGAGGAAAACAAGTTTCATGAACTTGTTTTCCCCATTGTTCGATATTTGTTTCGCGTTTATGAAAAAAGTCAACGAAAAATGATTTCTAGTCAATAAAAAATAATATATTATTTTTGAAAAAATGTTTTCCAAGTTAAAAAAGAAGAAAATATTTTTCTTATCACGAGTCTGTCTCGCTCTCGTGTTATTTATCTCTCTCTCGATATATTTGAACAATTTTTTTCTCTATCTTCTTTTTATTTAAAACATATCAAATTAATTTTTAATTATTCCTTATCAAATATTATTAATTATTTAATTATTTTTCTCTATTTCTACTAACATTTGATTTTTGATTTATAAATGCATTAAATATTCTTAAAAAAACATTTTTATACCTTAAAATTATTTTTATAATAAATATTTCAATAATTCATCTCTACTTTTTTACTATTATCTCAAACACTACCTAAACTATACTTAAATGATTGAAAATGATTATTACAAAACTGCAATAATTTATAAAATTTTGTTGGTAATTGTAGTGAATGATTAGTTACAATTTATTCCAACATTAATCTTTTAAAACCAAATGAATAATTATCTATAAATCATAAATAATAATTTATAAAACTATTTTTTAGACTAAATTATCAGTTCAATTTTTTTTAAAAAAAATTATTAATTGAGTTACCAAAATAACAATGCTTTGATTACTTAGAATTTTTTTCTTTACTAAATGTGAATATTGACTTGATTTTTTTTTCAATTAATTTTGTTGAATTGGTTTGATGGTTAAAAAAGTACATTTTATTTTTTGAATTTAAATTTTTGAGTCAATATTTATGAAAATTTATTAAATTTTCTAAATATATATTATTTTGTGAAGAATATGCCTTTTTGAAGTTTTCTCAAAACTCATTGATTTAACAATCATATACTTGTTTTTGTATTTTAATTTTTTGTATCAAACAAACGCTGAAATATATTTTTCAGCATTTTTTTCATATAATTACCAAAAGGTAGAAAATATTTTTTAAAAAATAATTTTCTGAAAAATAGCTTCCTCAAGAATTAATTTTCCTATAAAAGTTGTTTTTCACTAAACAAATCGAGCCTTGAAATTTATTAAAGCCACATCAAATTGATGGGTAATACATGTGATAGCATAAAAGTTCCTAACCGAATAGATCCCTAAAATGTGTTGACATAAGAATTTTTGTTCGGCATTCTGAAAAGAATAATGACTACCGTCAATAATAAGAGATAACATAGGTATAAATTTAAAGAACATGCATAAATTAAATTAATGATGAACAATATTAGGTAGTAGAAAAAAAAATCAAAGTTATGTTAGTCTTCATTGTAAACTAAGAGATTTTTTTTTTAAATTAGAAAACGATGATGCAAGAAATTAAAATAAAATGTTTGAAGAGATGCAGCGAAAAAGGAAGAGAGAAGAGGGAAGAATATTAATTTTTTTATCCTAAAATATTTTTAACAAAATATTTTTTTAAAAAAAATTAAAAACTAACATGTTAATGTATATAATTGAGAAGCATACAAATATTTTTTTTAACATGTAGACTTTAATTTATATATCTAATGATTTAGTTTCTATAATAACAATATTGAATTACAACTTATGATTTTAGTCAAATCAATCAAACATTCTGATTGTATCGATTAATTATGATTTTAGTCAAATATGAAAATTGATCAATCAAAACATTCCAATTGTATCGATTAATTATGATTTTATTCAACTATGAAAATTGATCAATCAAAACATTCCAATTATATTGATTAATTATAACTTTATTCAAATTTTGAAATCTATGAGTCAAACCTTCCAATTGTATCCTCTAATTTGTATGCATTATTTAGTTCTTCACAACACAAACAAACTTCTTACAATCACAGCAAAGATACAATGAGTGATAAAACTTTTATTTGCCTTCTCGTTCTTTTCTTGGCTGTCACAGGTTCAACTTGCACCCTTTTTTTTTTTTTTTCATTTCTTTGCCTTTCTATGAAGTAAAAAAAAAGCTACCCATCCATGTCATGATCAAAACTACACAAATGGGTTGTGCCGGGAGCTTGTAATGTTTTAATTAATTAGCAATTAATCATGCTCTTGATTTAGTGATTATCTTTTTTTATTAGAGATTTAGTGACTACTTGGCTTTAGACTATGCTGCCTGCCCATCCAATAATCATTAAGCCATTCAAAGCCTGATATAACTTGATTTAGAGTTTAGACCATAATTTGTGTTCATAATCTAAAGCGTAATGGCTTTTTATTTTTTTCTTAATTTGTTTTACAGGTGGGAAATCTGACGTAACTTTCAACTTCGAAAATAATTGCCTGGACAACGTGTGGCTCTCCTCTAGTCCCTCCGATGGAGACTTGGATCCAGAAAGCGGACCGGGTACCCTAGAAATATTTGACATGCCAGATCCATGGACCGGTAGCATTTGGGCACGGACCAAGTGTTCTGCCAATGACTCAAATTACTTCTCATGCGAAACCGGAGATTGCCGGTCCGGCAATCTAAGCTGCCAAGGTCCACAGCCAACTTTTCCGGTTACCCTACTCAATTTTGATATCAAACAAAACGTGGTCTCCTACGAAGTCAGCTTGGTCCATGGCCACAATATTGCCGTCAGGATCCAGCCAGATGGTGGGTCGTTAGTAGGTGGGTCAGGACCTTGTCCAGTCGTAGATTGCATTCAAGATATCAGCAATGTCTGTCCTGCTCCTCTGGTGGCCAAAAACGAAAATGGGGCATACGTTGGGTGCAATAGTGCATGTGATGTACTCAAGGACTGTAACCCTAATCAATACACACAAGCCTTCAAGCAACTGTGTAATTTAGCACACATTTTTCCTGGTGACAGTACCCCTCCGCTCTATAAATGCAGTGGGGCTGCTGGTTATAATATTACCTTCTGTCCCTTGTAAAATATGCCGGGAAGAAACTTAATTTTAGAGATCGCCACAAGTCATGTATTTTTATTTTTTTCAGTTTAATAATATTTTCAAAATATTACATAACTTGATTTAAGTTCGTATTTGATTTTCAAGATAATTGATTTCTATTTATTGGCCATAAAGATTTTTATTTGAAGTTTTTTTCCTTCCCCATAAAAGAAGGGGTTCATAGTTCGGAAAAGAGAAAATTACATAGGAATTGCAACCCCGACATCATGCTCATGTAATAATTCTTATACGAAAGGAATCAAAATAATGAATTCCAATGGAGGAGATGAAACTTTAGTTGGCAAACCAATCCGCATAAGGACTGTCCTCACCGAAAAAATGTCGAATACAATGATCCCATCACGACTTACCAGCTGCCAAAAATCTTTAAACAAAGAATCATGAGATAATTTGCTCGCAGATCCACAAGAAGCGTTAACTAGCACCGGAGAATCCATCTCCAATTCAACCTTTCCAAAGTCGCGGTCACAAGATAATTTCAAAACCAATGACAGCAGCCCATGGCTCAGCTTTTATGGTAAAACATAGTCCCAGATTAGCTTTCGGACCATACAGCCACCGACCACAACGAATCAACCCACCGCCACGAGCCCAAACCAAACTACTTCTACATGCCCTGTTAGTATTAATTTTTACCCATTTTGCTGCTGGTTTAGCCCAACCGACAAACTGATCCACTGGCATCTTTTTGGTAGAAGTAGAAGTCATTTTAACTGGAGAAATGTCACAAATAAATGAAAGCATTTCTTCTCTACCATTGCCACTACGATATTTGCCAAGGAATATTTTATCTTATTTAAATATTATTATTGGTTTTTATATATAATTTTCGTATCATTAGAGTTGTGTCGATTCACATGCTGTAACTATTCACAAAAGTGGCGTCTATTAATTAAGAATTAAGAGTTGCAATATAATTGTAATTCTATAATATACACTCTCATTTAGAAAATAGTGTTATATATATATATATATATATATATATATGATTAATGAAAATTAATTCAATCAAGTACTTAGTTAAATATAAACACAAAAAATTATGCTTTGTTATTAATATTCCTACACGGATTTCCAACCTAACAACATGTAGAAAACCTAAGATCATGTATAAAACTTAAGATTTATCGAGGCATTTAGTGATATTAAAGCCTTCAGTTTTGAGCCTTCAAAGTTAAGATCAACGTGTTTTTCAAAATATGTAAAATTTTCTATTACTTACTTCTATTTACCATCTAGTTTATTTAACTATGACATCAAAACAAAGTTTTATTATGTTAATTCTTTCAATATATGAAAACTGAATGAGATTAATTATTCCATTTGGAAAAGAAGAGTTTTTTCTATGTCTTGATACATGACAAAATATTTTATGTAAATGCTACTTGCAAACCTGTGGAGACTAATGATTTGCCTAAGAAAAAAATTAGAAAAAAAAAGGATAATAAACTTGCAAAGACTGGTCTTCTAAGTATCATGAAAGATGATTTAATTCTTTTGTTTGAAGATTTGAAGACTGTTAAGGAAATTATCTCTGCTATGGAACAAAAGTTTGGTGAAAAGTTCAACACTTATGTTCAACTTTTACTTGAAAATTGGATTAATCGTAAGAAGCATCCCTCTATTCTTGAATTTCTCTTAATGTGGCTCATCCAATGGTTTTTTGATCATTTTTTTAATAAAAAAGATATGTGAGAAAAAATACCACGTTTCATGACACATTAGACAAATTTGTTGCGTTGAAAAAAATAAAATAAAATACCCAAAAAAAATTGCAGGAAATTTTTTTTTTCATGAAATTAGAAAAAATAAAAAAATAATAAAAAGAAAATCAATTTTTTTTTCTCTCAATTGTTTGAGGAACCAAACAACCAGCAACAATTAATTTCTTTCCTTCATATTTTCTCCTAAAATTGTATCTTTATTAACAAGATCATGGATTTAGAAAAGAAAATGAAGATTAGGCAATCATGTTTAGTTTGAACTCGTTGGAAAAAATGAAAATGAACTTGAAAAGAAACAAAAATATGTAGTTCTTAATTGCGTACGGAAAATACCCCACATCGTCCTTAAGGTGATTATTGCCCCCACTATAATGCTGCAGGAATTTTAGCAATTCACCTTTAGGATACAATTTTCGCACACAGAAATCATTGGCGAGCACTCTTGAAATTCCTTTAAGAGAATATCTCGTAAAGTTGTAGAGTCTTAGAAGGAAAAGAATTTTTTTGAGAGGAGAGGAGGATTGTAGAGAATGTAATTGATTTCGTCCCGTGCGGTAGTCCCCTATTTATAGACCACCGATACCACTTTCATAACAAACATGATCGTTGATTCTAACAGATCCTAATCCAATAGTCATAAGCTGTTGCATTCTAACGGACATAACCGTTAGATCCTAATGTATATAACCGTTAGATTCTAACGATCATAAGGTTTGAAAGTCGTTAATAACTAACTCACTGCGAAGAAAAAGATTAAAAACGTAATTAATTAAATAATTACAAATTTAATTACATTAAGAAATAAAAATAAATTTCTTAATCACACACGCTTAACTTAAATCAAATATTTGAAAGTGCTAGTCTTTGATTATTTAAATATATATAATTCCAACCAATTATCCTAGTTTTCCATCCAATTCTTTCAATCAAATATTTGAAAGTTTTGCTAGAGGCCCACTTTATAAGTGGCCTCTTATTTTCATTCCTTTCCAATGTGGGATAAAATCCCACTTGAAAACACTTTCAAATTTCTTTCATAGTACGCTTAACTTATTATCTAACATTTCTAAGATCTCTAACATGAACATAAATCCAAATTCAATCAAATCGAACAACAAGTTGCTTCAAACTTGAAATAAAAATTGTTTTCTTCTTGATTTATGTTTTAAGGCTGAAACCATAGTGTAGTTATGATATTTGCAAGACCTATCTTTCTGCGAGCTTTTATCAAATAAAAAATTGGTACTCGTTTATGTCCAAGTTCTTGGCAAAATCACCATTGCTAATCCTATGCTCGAGACAACATTTGAGAACTACCCAAAAGGAAAACTTTTATCTCGCTCTCTTAGGTGATCTTTTGGGTAGAGATATTTTTAATGGTGATGGTGATTCTTTGAAGTTTCAAAGAAAAATGGCAAGCTTGGAATTAGGAAGTGTTTTGATAAGAATGTATGCTTTTGATCTCATAATGATTGTGATTTGTACCAGGCTAATTCCCTTTTGTCATCTGCTAAACATAAGAAAAGAAATTAATTGCTTGCTAGTTGTGTGATCTGTTTAGAAAGTTGAGAGAAAGAAATTTGATTTTCTTTCCTTTTTTTTTCCCTAATTCCATGATTTAGTAAAATTTGTTAATGTTTTTTTTTTAGTTTTTTTCATTTTTTCCATCTAATTTATCTAACGTGTCATGACAAATAGTATTTTTTACCATAAGTCATTTTTTATCAAAAAATTAGCTAGGAAATCATTGAAGGGGCCACATTTAAAAAATCCAAGAGTAGAGATAGGTGATGAATAAAAAAAGTATAAGGAGCCACATTAAAAAAATCAAAAAAGTAGAAGGACGTTTCATGTGATTAATCCTTGAAAAAATCAATAGCATGACTATGCTAAAGGATGCTAGTGTTGTGTATCATGTTAATCACAATGCTCTTATTGCTAAAAAATTCTACACTATAAAATGCTATCCCAAATCGAATGCGGTATCAACTATTCTTAATAGCTATCCCCCTTCTTGGGATTTTGTTCTCATCTCGATAAATTATTCTAATCAGAATTTAACCATGGATAAATTATCTACAATGATGGCACTTGAGGAAGAAAGAAAAAGGCATCTTAAGTGCTCAAATATCATGGTTGTTGAAGATAATGAGAAACCAAACAAGAGAGACAATAAGCATTGGAAACCTAAATGAAGGTAATTCAAGAATAGAAAAAAAAATTTAAGGAAAGAGCATGCTTTTCTTATGGTAAAGTTGGACACTTTAAAGCGAAGTTTCCAAATATGTATAAAAATAAACATAGCACAAATGAGGATTCAAACAAAGAATTAAAGGAAATCATTCTTATTATATCTAAAGTCATGATTATTGAGTCTATAAATGTTAATTGGCGGATTGATTCGAGTGCTATAAGACATGTATGCAAATCAAGAAATTGATTCGCGTAGATGACTAAAATGTCACTTGGAGAATACGAGACTTTTTATTGGTAATAATACATACTCGATGTCGTTGGTGTTGGTGATTGTAAAGTCATGCACACCGATAATAATTTTATTCTTCTCAATATACTTTTTCATCAATTACTAAAAAAATAAAAAAATCTTATGTTAGTGTCTATATTAGATGATAAGGGGTATGAAGTCAAGTTTGCTTTTGATTTTGTAACTATTAGGAAAAAAAAATGGGCATGTTATTGTAAGAAAAAAGTAGGAAAATGAAATACATCGTATCCTCATTACTATTATATAATGTCTATTTCTTCTTACTTGTGTGATTCTAAATATATTTGTCCATATTCATATTGTTTTTACTTATTTGAATCCACTTTTATTAGTTCTTATACATGGCATTTAAGATTGAAACACATTAACAAAGACAAAAATGTCAAAAATATAGATGACATAGTACTTGCATGCAACAATATCGAGATGATAGAAAAAATTAAAGCATTTATCTAAGAGAAATTTGAAATGAAAAACAAAAGACATGCATTTTTTGTGTTAGGCATACAAAATACTAGAGATAGAGTTAATACCCTCACATGTCCTTATATAATAGGACAATTTTCCAATCTGTTCTTAAAATAAAAAACGCATCTAATTTGTCTTTATATTTTGAGCTAGTTTCTAATCTATCATTTTAGTTAAATTTTTTAGCTAAATTAAGCCAAATTAAGCATTTAATTTATGCACGATATATGCTTTAACAAAATTATCTTTATTATTTGATACAAGTGATCTACATCTACTAATTAATATGATAATTAATTTTTGAAAATTGGTCGGAAATTTAAACTAGAGTGGTAGGATAAAAACAAGTTCAAAATATAAGGATGGATAGAAAGCATTTTTTTAGGGATAGATCAAACAATTAGTCAATTATATAAGGACATGTGAGGGTATTAACCCCAAGAGATATGAAATCAAAACTATTATACTTAGATCAAGAAAAGTACTTAAGTCGGGCATTGGCAAAAATTAATATGAGCAATTGTAGGTCAATATCTATACCAATATGCAAAGGCTTGATTCTTGAAAAGTTACGGAGTTCAAAAAATGATGATGAAATTAAAGCCATAAAAAATGTCTCTCGTGCTCAAGTCGTAGATAGTCTAATGCATGCCATGACTAGTATTAGATTGGATGTTTGCTATGTAGTTGGATTGATTAGTCGATTTCAAGTAATTCCTAGAAAAAAGAATTGTAGGTTGTTAAAAAAGTTTTTAGATACATTCAAAATACTAAAAAAATAAAAAATATGTTTTGAACATGGTGATTTGGAAATCTATAGATATTTAGATGCAAATTTTACAAGTGGTCATGATGATCAAATATTCACTAGTGGTAACATATTTTTACTTGGAAGCGAGTGCAATATAATGTCAAGTGAAAAAACAAACTTGTGTAGCTAAACATACAATGAGAGCTGAATATGCGGCATATAGTATAGTAGTCTCACAAGTAGTTTAGATTAAATACTTAACTCAAGGTTTGAAATTTAAAAAATTATTTAGGAGCGTAAATGTATTTTATAACAATAAGAAAGCCATATCATTAATAAAGAACGATGCAATAAGTTCTAAAAAAACACATAGATGTAAGTCTTTATTTTGTACAAGATATGTTTGAAAAGAGAGAGATAAAATTCGACTACATCCCATCGGAAAATATAATAACACACCTCATGAAAAAACGATTGTCATTAAAAAAGATTTAATAAGCATGTTAATACAAAGAGATTAAAATTACCTAGGTAAATTAAAAATATGCTAAAGTGTCATGACTCTATATAGTTCTTGAGGATGTCTAAGAATAGATAGGAGTACATGCTATGATTGCATCAAAATTAATTCATGGGTTCATGAGATTGATAGAATATATACATCTTTTCAAAAACAAGGATAATACTTTATATTTTAATAAGATCGAGTGGGAGATGAACAATTTTTTATCTTATTTAAATATTATCGCTTCCCGAAGTTTGTGAGACTCTTGAAAATTTAAGATTTATTTTTTGGTTGAAAAACTATTTGTTTAAAGATGTAAGTTAAACTAAATTTTTAGAATCACCACCTAGTATTAAAGGTAACTAAGAACCAAAAACGGGCATTAGTTCGGAGATTCTAAGATAAGACGTTGGCTATATATTTAGAAAGATACCAATCACCCAAAAACATCATTTCTCGATAAAGATACCATATCTATTTTAGTCATAAAATTTATCTCCTAAAAATTCTATTTTTACCCAAAATTAATCATAATTCAAAATTCCAAGTTTTATTTCCTAAGCCAAATTATATATATATATATTTTGGCATCATATTAAATCGATCGATGTACCCCTCCATCACACTTCTCGTCGATTCAACATCGGATCTAATTTGAATCTTGATATAATCGATATGTCAAACAATGATCTAATTACTAGGATATTATTAATTTGAATTAACATCGGTCTCTATTAAATAGAAGGCTTTGCTAATTTTTACTCTAGTATTTTCTATATTTTTCTTCTTCTTTTATCTTTTATCTAGCTTTTTCTCTCTCTTTTTCCTCTCATTTTTTGTTCTTCTCCTCTCTTTCTTTTTCTTTATCATTTTATATTTTTCTTCCTTTTTCATTATTTAAATTTTTTTATTTTATCTCATCATTTATCTTCTTTTTTTTGTCGTTGTTGTTTTTTTTCTTTTTTCTTTTTGTATTTTTTTTGTTGGTGGGGAATTGTCATCGATCCTTAAAAATCGGAAAACTCGACGATCATCCACTTATTAATTACCTAATCTAATTATTGACATAAAACCTAAATTAGATATTGACTAAATAAATATTAGAAACTCAAAAATTCAAAAATAAAAAATCTAAACTAGGCATAAAATGAAAAGCATGTATTTAAAAAAAAAAAAAATCAGGATTGATTTACCTAGGAAATTGGCTAAAACTAGAGTTATTGGGCCCTCGACCCATTAGGCTATATTGCTGGCAGACCAGCCTTTTCTTCTCCTCTCAAGCTTGGGCTAAGCTAAGCCCAACCTAAGCCTGGTCGCACGTAGGCTGGGTCGAAGCTCAGCCCACCCCTTTCTCACTCGGGCAAGGTAAAGCCCAGCCTCTTAAACACCCAAATGTGTTCTCTTAAGCCAGACCCAAATCGAATTTCCCCTAATTCATCTACCTCTCCAATCATCCGTTACCCTCTGTCACGTCTCCTTCTCCCTAACTGGAACCTTTACTTCTTCTTCTTCCTTCATAACTCGTCACCCATGACAAAAATAGGATCGATTCCCCTCACGTCTCTCTTTGATCAGAAACTCTAGGTTATCTATTCTTCCCCAAATTGAAACCCCGAATGATCAAAACATGGACACCATCTGGTCCTTCATTTTCCTCCCCTCAGCCAGTCTTGAGACTCCCTTCCTCAACCCATCTTCTTTTCACTCTCAGATGAGCTGAACCTCTCAATAAATTTCCCATAGTATCTTTTCTTTTTTCTCAAATTAGAAACCTTAAGTTCCCTCTGCTTTCTTAATCGAACCCCAAAACCTCAAAATCAACCCGACTAAGCCTAGAATCTAACCCTTTTAAGCCATCAAAACTCGCTTCCCTCCTTCATCTTGCGAATTTAACAGATGCAAGGAAAATGATTTTGGGTATTGGAGGTTCTATCGTCACTGGCATTAATCATTTTTTTTAAATGATTGATGCTAACAGGGGTTGCAAATTTAAAAAAAAAAAAAAAAAAGGAAAAACAAATGCTTCCCTAGGGAGTTGATTATAGATTTCTAGCTGAGGATGAGCGAGTAGTAGAAGCCGGTTGCTACTCCAATTGGTGAAACAGAGTTCTTCTAAAACCCAGTAGCTACAGAAGCTGATTTGTTGATGTTGGCCCCAAAGTCTCCTTCTTCCAATAGCTCGATAAGAACCGTAAGTCTTTGAGTTTCTTTGAAATTCATTTGTCTATTATGCCTCTCTATTATGTCTCAATTCCTCTCATGTTCCTCTCAATTGCTTTGAGATTTCCCACAATTCTCCTTTTTCTGTTTTCCCACCAATTCTCCACCTTCTCTAAAACCTCAATTCTCTGCCCTTCTTTCTTTCTCTATTCTCCCTTTGTTTTCCCTAATTCTCTGCTCTTTTCTTCTCTCTTTTTCTCCTTTTGTTTTCCCCAATTCTCTACTCTCACTTCTCGTTTTTTTTCCTCCCAAAAACCCTAAATTAAACCCCTATTATACCCAAAGATTCCCTTATCACTCCTGGGATCAATTCTTATAACTCCAAAACTTCTCCCATAAAGAATAAACTCTCTAACTTTGATGTCAATTTTGGTTCTGTTATGAACAAAGCCAAAACAATTATGCTCTATGTCTATGCATTGGGTTTTGCCTTTTTTGGTGTTTTTGTTGTGCAGGTTGGTTCAGGTGTAGGAGCCACAGTAGTAGAAGACTAGAAGCTATATGCGCAGGCCGATTTTATCACTCTAATAGTGTCAGAGAATGGTGTGGTATGAGGCAGGCATGCCATGACAGAATTTGGAAGGATCCGGATGACAGATCATTCGAGTTGACTTCGAATTGGTCCTGTCATACGTGTCTCATGTCAGTTTAGGTCCTTATAGTTTTAATAGTTTTAATTTTGTCTCAATTATACCCTCTAGATAAGTCATTGTAGTCCTTTTTCTTTTAATTTTTTCAACACGGTCCCTATATCTTGTAATTTTAGTCCTAGGGTTTTCAATTGCATTAATTTTGATACAGTTTTATTCAATTCGGCCCCTTAATATAATTAAATGTTTCGTTCTAAACACTGAACTTTTTTTAAAAAATATTCGGCTCCTTCATTTGAACAGTAAACAACTTACCCCTCCTTATTGTTTTCTTTCTAAACACTGAACTTTTTTTAAAAAAATTTTCATTCGTTTACTATTCATATGAACAGTGAACGAGTTGTCTTTATCTTTTTTCTTCTAAACATTGAACCGTTTTTTTTTTTTTTAATTTTCGTTTCTTAATAACGTTGGGTGTTAAAATTTTAAGGGAATCAACAATTAATTGGGTGTCAAAATTTTAAAGAAATCAATAATTTATTTCCTTTATTATTTATTTCTAAAATTTAAAATATCTAATTTTTCTTTTGGTGTGACCATTTTTTTTATTTTCGTTTCGAAAAGTGAAGGATTTTTTTTTTTAATTTTCGTTTCTAAATAATGTTCGAGTGTTAAAATTTTAAAGGAACCAACAATTAATTGGATACTAAAATTTTAAAGGAATCAATAATTTATTTTCTTTATTATTTATTTCTAAAGTTCAAATTATTTAATTTGAAAAAATAATTTTTTTCAAAAAATAATTATGTCTATAAGCACACATTATCACATAACATAATCTATTAATTAACAATTATATAAGATGTATTTCTCAAAAAAAAAATACATATATTATAATAAAGAATTTTATTACTCATAGTTTGTCATTTATTATTATTTTTATTAATCTTTTATTTCTTTTCAATTCTCATTCAATTAATTTAAAATTATATTTACTCATAGTTTTAATTTATTTTAATATTATTCATCCAAATAATAAAAATTAAATTCACATTTTTTTCAAAAATCGATGTTCTCCACTCCATTAGACATTTCACGTGCTTGCCTTAAATACAAAAATCTCTCATTTTGATTTTGTTGCTAATAAATTATAGCACGATAGTCCAGGTAATGTTTCTTCTTCAAGAATGCCTTTACTTTCTCATTATATTCTCGCATCAAAGAAAACTAATGACTTTTCTCGTAATGTTTATCTGGTAGCCAAACAACATAAATTATCCTTTAATAATAGCATGTCTATTTCATCTAAAAATTTTGAGATGATTCATTGTGATGTATGAAGTCCGTATAAAAATCCTACTTGGAATGGAGAAATTTTTTTCTTAATCATTATCGATGATTTTTTTAAAATAACCTTGACATATCTTCTACAATCTAAAACACAAGTAACTTCAATTTTAAAATAGCTTTTTCCCCTTATCATGACTCAATTTGATAGTACCATAAAGACCATTCGGATGGATAATGATACTGAATTTTTCACCAAATAACTTATAGAATTTTTGTTGTCTAAAGGGACCATACACCACTACTGATGGCCCATATACTCCATAACAAATTTGTATAGTCAAAAGAAAACATAAACATGTTTTAGAAATTGCCCGAGCCTTATGCTTTCTTGCACACTTTCCACTTCAATTTTAGGAAGACTACATCTTGACTACCACGAGCCTTATTGATCATCTACCATCTCGATACTCAACTTGAAAACTCTATTTGAGTTGTTTTTCGATAAGTCTCCCTAGTATGATCACCTCTATATTTTTGGTTGCATGTGTTTCACCACTACTGACCTCTCGATATTGAGATAAATTTTCTCCTCATGCAATCGGCTATATTTTCCTTGGACATCATACACTTAAAAAGGTTATAAAGTTTTTGACTTGGATAACAAAAAAAATATTTGTTACACGTCATTTTATTTTCCATGAGAAATTTTTTCCTTTCTCTAGCACTTCTTCCTCACAATAATCGGACGTTATTTATCCTACCGATATTCTTGATTTATCTCATTGCGAATTAGTTTCATCTATACTTTTCCCTACACACACATCCATCCAAGAGCCACCTACACTCTCATCTACGCAACACCAATCAATGCATACCCATCAACTTTAATTGCTCCAACTCGCATCTTATACACACAAGGCATCTCCACACCCACTAGATAATGCCTATAAACATTAGTTCAAAAATCCATATCCACGTATCAATTCTTTTGATATCTCAATTCTAACTATCGACGTCATCCAATCCGAGTCATTTTTTCATAGAGCTTTATAAAAATTTAAATATGGATCTTCTCATCACATCCAATATACAAAAATCTTCTCGTTCTCACAAAGTTACCTCGTATATAAAAGACTACATTGCTTTCTTATTGACACTTCACTTGCTTGCCCAATCTAAATGTGGTTACTCACTGTTCACTTTGTCTTAGGGTCTAATTTTATGGCTATTTTAGTATATATGGATGATGTCATCATTATAGGCATCAACTCTTTTGACATTACTCAAGTGAAGCACCAACTAGATTCTCAATTCAAGATCAAAGATTTAAGAGATGCCAAATATTTTATTAAGCTTGAAATTACCGATTCCACCACCAGCATTCCCCTTAGTCAACATAAATACTCATTAAACATACTAAAGGATATTGGGTTACTTAGTTCCAAGCCTAGTCTTTTACCAATAGATTTCAATCGAAGCTTGATAACGAATTTGATGAACCACTCGCTAGATCCATCTTTTTATCACATATTCATTAGAAGACTTATCTACCTTATAATTAGTAAATCGAATATTTCTTATCTTGTTCATATATCGAGTCAATTCATGTGTAGCGTCCTTAACCTAATTCCTTACAAAACCTTCGTATAACTTAACCATTTTAGTTCTAGAAAACTCAATTAATCACAAAATATTACTTAGGATCGTTAAAACCTCATATTAGAAAGATTAGATTTTTTTTTATTCAACTAATCAACAACATTCTTTCCACTTATAACCCTTGGATATTCAATCAAAACCACTTTTTCTTTGCTCATAAACATGTCTCAAAACACCTCCAGGAGTTCATATTTACATAGTTACATATACAATTCAAAACTCTCCTAGGATGCATATGCTCGGCATAATGAGAGAGAGGAGAGGGAGATCGCCGACCGACTTGTTACTCATGTCGTGAAATGAGCGACAAAACAAGCTCTAAGCTCTTAACTTCTTTTACCTAAAAAGTAATTGCATTTTTAATGAGATGCTACTCAATGAGAGAACAATAATTCATTGAAACCATAACATGCAATCACATCATCCAGTATCATCACATATAAACAATACATGGAGTTCATATGACTCTAAGATTACATGCTTTCCTTTTTCTTGTCGGTTATGACTTGGACATGTCAAGTTCCGCCCGGGTACTTGTAACTTGTAAACTTGTACACATGTATTCTTGGCTAGCTTTTATAACTTGTAATTGACCCATTGGGTCCTTGTAAACTTGTATTTACGAAACTTGGACAAGCCAGTCATAACCTTAACCGCTTAGCCTTGCATATATCATGAATGTTTCACATATAGCATATACAACATCCATGGCTTACATCATGGTACATATCCATTATAACATCAATAAACATAACATTTGCGTCAACTAGCAAACGGCACATCATTCACATCATGATATCAATATCAATACACATAACATCAATAAACACAACGTTTGCATCAACTAGTAAATGACACATCATTCACATCATAGAAATATAATATTAGCACTCAATAGCAATAACACATCATGGCACAACGATTATTATTCAACTCACAAAAATGACGTCTTCGTCGTTTATCAATGCGTCGCGTCTCGCACCCCACGCTCCTCGGCGTCTATAAACACATACACATATACTTTTATAAGTCATTTTATCACGATCAAACTTCTAAATATGCTTAAGGTACAAAATATGACTTTAGGGTTAACTTATTCCTTTATGGGTACTTGACCCATTTTCACTCTTTCTACCATAAGTCTCAAAATACAGATTCAAATGATGCAATTCTAGTTTCACATGAAACTAGACTCATAGGGCTCTAACATATCCAAAAATCAAGTCTAGGTACGAAATACATAACTCATGATGACTTTCTAAAAATCAGAGTTGCTACCATTTGTTTATGGGTACTTGACCTCTTGATAGTTCACACTCTTTGTACTATAAATCCTAAAATACAGGGTAAAATGACAAAATTCTAGTTTTAAATGAAACTAGACTCAAAGGGGTCTAACTATATCCAAAACTCAGCCCAATATGCAATATACATGATTTATTCTATATTTTTAAACTCTAACTAGCTTCCAAGCACCCTTGTTACCGAGCGAGTCCCCAAACAAACAACAATAAATCTAGATTGGGACATGGTCAAGACCTAATTCTTTTTTAAAAAGAACTAGACATATCAATATAAAACATATCCAAAAATCAGATCGAAATACTCAACACCCAAAGAATACCATATTTTTAAATTTTGCACACTAATCGCCAGACATCGGATCACCCGAACAACATGTGTTCAAACCATCATAACCCGAAATATAAATCACTAAATATAAAACTCTTTCACAGAGAGCTAGATAAGACACAAACCAACAATTTTTATTCTTACAACTTGTTCCAGATCTGACCCCTAAAGTCTCGAAATCAAGAGTGCAAAACAGAGCTGGGGATGAACTTACCTAGATTTCCGACTTGATCATCCGAATTTGACAAAGAAATGGGGTTTTTCTCTCTTTTTCTCTCTCAAAATGGGAAACCAGATGGG